AGAATTGAATGACCTACTATAGTTTCAGGATGGATTTGTTATACATATATCAGACCACTACACAGATGGATGGTATTTTGTATTAGGAGGAGTACGGACTTTATATATATATTATATGGTGTCGTGGTATAAGCTTGAGTCTCATGACCATGGTTATGGCGCGTATATCGCCTAGGATGAATAACTGGACATAGGAGTTGTTCCCTGGTGTACTCATGCCCACCTTCGGGCGCGTATTCGCATGTTGCCTTCTATTTAGGCTGAGACAGACCTACTGGACTAGCGAGCGTCCTATAGTGTGTACTATATACATATATGGACTACTCTAGATATTGTTGAGTCTTCATATGATGTATCTGCGTATCGGATTACTGCTTGGATTGTAGTAGATCAGGACTTGCATGTGGGCCTGACCCGCTTCTTTATTTTTCAGGTGTTCGTCAGTTCCAGGGTTAGAGCTTGGACGTGCAGAGCAGATACAAATATTCATTCCTCCGATTATGTAGGAATCTGCTCCATGTTAGCTTTGGATGTTATTTCTTTTGTTTCAGTTTTGGTTTTAGAATTTTAATAAGGGGTCCAATGGATGGATTCCTGAGTTGTAAACTTATGAAGTTTTGGATTATCGGATTTGATTAATTATGATATAAGGATTTTCTTTTAGTTTCTTTCAGCTTATTATTTTATTTCGTATTTCACTTTGTATTCCGTGTTCGATTTAAAATACCTTAATTGTTTGCTATCCCTCGGGTTTGGGCCTGGGCCTCGGATCTGAGGGGTATCACAGGCGTCTACAATTACTTTGGAACATTGAATCCATCAAAGTGAACCAATTACATCATAATATCAAAACCTATATAAACAAAGAGAAATATTTGATTTATTCACTAGAAAAGGAGTTTGATTAGAGTGTAAGAATCATTGCATGAGTGGGTCTGTATATATACATGTGTATATATATTTATTTTCTTCATCACATAATAAGTGTCACATTAACACGCTGAAAATTGAGAAATCATGTTAATTTGGAAGTTGGTCATGATAAGAAGCAATCTTTTAATGGTAGAGAAACAATTCCATACAACACTTGATTACTTTGGAATATTGAATCCATCAGAGTGAACTAATTACATTATAATATCAAAACCCATATAAACAAAGAGAAATATCTGATTTCTTCACTAGAAAAAAGGGTTTGAGGAGATGTTTGAGATTGCTGTTAAAATTATGAAAGTACTTTTAGTAGTAGAGCTGTTATAAAATTGCTGCCGAATTTACTAATAATATCCCCATCCTCTGTATATTTTGTTTTGATTTTATATAATATGAATTATTGCTTACCAAAGGAAAAAAATACAACATCAGCACTTATATTTATGAAATTCAAATTGTACAAGATTAAAGATCGAAGCTTAGTTTTACTAATTATAGCTTGATTTTTTCATGAATACACTTATTGTAACTTTATGTGACTTTCATAGATCATTAAGGTTGTTGCCATAATATCTCTGGTAGTTAATGGCCATAATTGATATATGGACCAAAAATAATATAAATATAAATTTTGTCGAAACTGATAAATGAAAAAAAACTGGATGATTACGGAACTGAATTTCTAATATATAGGTGATACAATAACAATAATATTAGCAAGTTCTAGTTTTTCAGACAACACAAATTGGTTTGCATAATTTTTGTATATTCTTTTAACACTAGGGACAAAATAGTATTTATCAAAAGTAGAGAGGGATTAAATTGTCAAAAATAAAATAATTACCATAAAAAATCTACCTATACTTAAAACAAAATTTTAAAAGCTACTATTTGTAAATTCAAGTGAACACGTTTTTTTGATGAAACTTCACTATCTAACAGCAGTTATTTTTGTCACCAAATGCATCTCAGCACAGTTTTTTAAAATAAAAGTACTTTTAATGGTAAAGAAACAATTCCTAACAGCACTTGATTACTTTGGAATATTGAGGGCCCGTTTGGGATGCGCTTTGTTTAAGGCGTTTTGTTTTTGACTAAGAAAAAAATTAAAAGTATGCTTGGGAACAATATTTTACTATAAAAATGTCAGAAACAGAAACTTGCAAAACATGTTTGGTAGCTCATAGAAAAATTGCTCGCTACTTTTCTGAAAAATTCTCTCTGTCTTGCTCAAGGGTGACCACAAAATTATAATTGGTCATCTTTTTTGAAAAACAGTTTGGCTTTATTTTTGTGTTATCTGAAAATCAAGTGTTTGGGATACAATACAATCAATTTTATCAGAGTTGGACTATTCTCTTCTGGCCTGCAGACGAGGAAGTTGGGAAGGCAAAGAAGCTTAGATCTTGACTTCTTGATGAATTCACTTCCTTGGCCACCCATTGACAGCCCTGGGTTAAAGGAAGACGAGAAACGATTATTGGTGAAAAGCTCTCGCCTGCCTGATTTAGTCAAATTTAGAGCGACGATTTTATCGAATTTCAGACAACTATGCCTCAATTTCATCGGATCGGACTGACGGTTTCCTCTATCAAAGTCATTTATTTCTCTCTTTTCAACCACATCAACTACTTCTTGATTCCGGCGTCATCGTTGCCGGAGAAGAATAGAGGCAACTACTTTAGGATTCTTGCAACTTCTGGACCTGTCACTCGCTCTCATATCTATCTCTGTAATCACCATACTCAAACTCATATACCGTTTTTAGAAAGAGAAAGATGAACACGAAAACAAAATTATAATTATAATTTATTGAACTTACTTTCTACTTATTTAGAGGAGAAAGATGACCCCAAAATAAAAATCAAATCATGTTGTATTTGAGCAAAACCAGCAAATCGAGGGCTTAACTGATCGGTGATGGTGAAATCTGAATCGCTAGAGACATAATCAGGAGAGGAGAGAGAAAAAGTTGTCCAAAATGACCTAAAATGTTTATATACCTAGGGCAAGTATGTTTTAAGTTGGGCAGGGTGTTTCCTCCGCTACAGTGAATATGATGGCCGAACAGTGCTGAAACAAGTTAAAACATCATTTTGGTGTTTCAATTTTTGGGCTTTTTATTGAAATGTTTTACCACTATACAAAACAAAGCAGAATCAACCAAACATGTTTTGGGCTTCATTTGGTCTATTGTAACGGGCCTGCAACAAAAACAACAAAAGCAAAACAGATACCAAACAGGGAATCCATCAAAGTGAACCAATTACATCATAATATCAAAACCTATATCTGATTTTTTTCACTAGATAAAGAGTTTGATTAGAGTGCAGGAATCATTGCATGAGTGGGTCTGTATATATACATGTGTATATAAATTTATTTTCATGGTCACATAATAAGTGTCACATTAATATCGTGTTGATTTGGAAGTTGGTCATGATAAGAAGCAAATAAAAAAGAAGTTCGGTGGTGTATTCGCATATTGTGCCCAAAAAAAAAAAATATAGAAAAGAAGGAAAACAATGTCCTTTAAAAGTATTCAGAAGGGTATTTCAGTGAATCTCGAAAGAATAAATCAAAGTATTGATAAATTAAAAAATAAAATATAGCTAGACCCTTGCGGTACTTAAAAGCATTCACAAGGGTATTAATGTCCTTTCAGACATGTCTAAAGAACACACATGACACCCAACACGAATACCCCATTGGCTACCCATTTTTATTTTTTTTGTATTTTATAATCGAGGGAGGAGAGGAGGAGTGAAGGCACCAAAACCCTAATTTCCGATTGAGAAGAAAGGAGCCGCCGCCGCCTAATCTTTGATTGAGAATAGATCGGCGTTGGCGGAGGCTAGGCCGGCCCTGGCCTAGCGGTCGCCTTGGGCCTCAAATTTTAGAGGGCTTTGAGGCCCGTAGAGGATGGAAAATAAAAAATTTAGGGTTTGTTTGGTTAGCATAAAGTAGGTAGAAAGGAAAAGAAACGAAATTTTAATTTATTTTTTTTGAGTTCGTTCATTTACCTGGAATGAGAAAATTTTGGGGAAAGTGGATTCTCGTATCGGATAAATTTTCTTAAAATATTTCCCCGCATAAAACACAAGAAAGTTTACTTTCTTGCTCAAAACTGTCATTTAATTTCCAAATTTCCTATTATGCCCCAATTGAATTGTTTCTCCAATTTTTTTCATAGAGATTATTAAGTTATGCCATTTATTTACTAGGACACATATTTGGATTCATCATATCTAATACTGTCATTACCTACAAATTTTTAAAATAAATTAAGAATTGAATAGTAGAATTATATTACTTTTAATTTTTTTCCAATATCTCAATAGATATATGAGAAGACATGAATTAGAGTCATCATATTATTTATATGAGATAACCATCTCACAAGATGGAAATCAAAATAATTTTTATTTTTTTATTATCTAAATAGTTTTGAAACTTAATAGAGTTTTATACTCAATCATATGTTATTTTTTTTACAAAATTTTTTTGCATGGTTCATAGTCATAAAATATGGAAGTGGACCGATAAATTGCGCATGAACCAAAAAAATATTATGCATTAACTATAAAATGTTACTTTTGCATGACCATTTTTATCCTAGAGTATTGTCATTTAGTGTTTCTTTGAGGGGCTTGCAAAAAAATATATATTTAATATTCCAATAAAAACAGGAGTATGTTATGATAAATGAACTACATTCTACATATGAATATAAATAATTATTATTTAAAACACAAAATAAAAAGAATTTGATAACTAAAATCCAGTCCTCCTTAGTTTGTTCTAATTTAAATATGAATATAAATAATAATAACAATTATTAATAATCCATCATTTTACTATTTATTTGTTAAAAATTAATATAAATAATTAAGTACCAAGAGGATTCATCTAATACAAAATTAATTTATTTTTAAGTATTTAAAATTACGAGGATAGTTTTGGTAAGAAATCATTTTTTTTTTCTCTTTCATGCTAAATTTTTCCTGCTTTCACTTTGCATCGTACATTTTTTTTTAACAAAATGGACCCTTAGGTAAGGACGAGTCTTGGTCGCCTTGGGCCTCTGAGGCCCAACAGGGGATGGAAAAAAAAACATACGAGTATTAAGTTAGGGCAAGTTTCAGGCGACACAATCTGCTTCGACACTCCGCAGGACGCGGCCTCCGCTATCGCCTCAGGTGACAAGGTATGTTCATCCTCTTTATCTCTTCTCTCTCCATTTGCATGAATCAATCTTTTATATATGTTTTTTTCTTTCGTTCATCTCATCATTTGATTTGTTCTAACTTTGGTTCGTTTGATTCGGGCCTTTACCTTTGTTCCAATAGTGAAAAGTAGCTTCCAAACTAGGGTTTTTTGTGTGCGTGTCACTGTGTGTGATGGCTATCAAAAGCTGAATGAATATATTATGGTTCTCTTAGTATTTTAATAAATGTGTGCCTTTCTACAAGTGTCTTTCATGGCGATCGAGTCCATAATCTATGGCAGGCACTTTTTTTCCTCTCCCTAATTCCACTCCAATCTCACAACAGCAGCAATGATACCCCTTTTCCTCATAAGTTTTTGCATTTTCACATCCAATCCTACGAAAATTAAGGATCCCTTCTAGCGGGTTGAGCCGTTGAGGTAATAATTAACTTTTTCGATCTCTAAATTATGCTTATACCAAATTAAGGGTTTTTTTATATTTTATTTTTATATGAAGATACATACCACCATTATTGATGTTATTTGAAGTTGGCTCAGCTAGAATTTCAGTTAATAATACTGTCAAAGCACTTGCCATCAGTATGTACAAACACATGGAAATCAAGAGCAGGTTTTAACAGAACAAAAGTTAATGGTTTTTTCTATGAATTTGTACGGGTCTTCTGTAGCAATGATCAGTCAATCACTGCTATTAAAGTTGATTCCTCATCCTGAAATCAAGAAAGGGGTAATTGGCTCCAAAAAAAAACACACACAAAGTGTAGTTAATATAAAGAGTGAAAGACAAAACTATATATGATAGTAGATGCCACATATAACCTAAAAGTCCCACTACTTCTTCAGCACTACAAGTTCAGCCTCCTATATATATAGTCACCTCATCTCCACATATTTTGTCATCTGTAGTCATCAAATTTTAGCAGCTATATAAACAATGAATGTAAAAAAGAAGCTGCAGTTTTCTGTTCCCCATTTCCACTTTTGGACTGTATTTTGGATACTCTGTTTTGTCTTCTCTCCTCTCCTCCAGATTCCAGTGAAAAACTCCAGCCAGGAGATCATTCGACCAAACTGCTTGATTTTAGATTTTTTTTATTATATTTATTGTATGATTGGCAATGCTTAGTTATTATTGTTTCTCTTTGATTCTCCATCCGTTTTATGTTAATTGTGATCTTCTTTCACATGCTAGCAAGACACTCTTCTTAGGATCTCGTGAGGTTATTTGCCTTGAACTTGAATCAAATCATTGTATATTGAGGTAATATATATTTTCTTTAAACAAAGCAAATTATTATTATTATTTTTTTGAAGTCTAGTTTTATGTTGATTATGGTTCCTGTTATTTAGATTTCAAGAGATTTCATTATGTCTATAAGAAAATTTGAATCTGGGCATGAAAAAAGGAAAAAAAAAAAAAAGAAGAGAGAAGAAGAATTGATTCAATCTCAAAAAGGAGATGATCTTAATTTTTTTTAGGAGCAATACACAAATAGAGAGTTTAGTTGAAGATTCGGTGAATGAAGAACATATGAATGCGAAAGCAAATGAAGAAAATCTCAATAAACATGAAGATTTAATGAATGAGATCATAGGAAGTTAGTCAATGAACATGAAGATTTAATGAATGAAGATTATAGTTATTAGTTAGTTGTCTTATGCACAATGCACATGGACACAATTAAATTAGCTATAGAATTTGAAAACATCGTGTGAAAATTCTGCACTATTATAATTTTTTTTGCGAGTGTGAAACTTAGGGCCTCACATTTGAAAGTTTGCCTAGGGCCTCTCAAAATATTTGGAATCTCAAGGCCGGCCCTGGGCGGAGGAGGCAACTAAAGATGGAGGATGCGGCAAGAAGTTTGTTTATGGTTGCGAGTTTTCATGAGTCCCTACACTGTGCTGCAATTTATGAAATCAAATTTGGTGGTGGAGGTGGAGGAGTAGGGGAAATTAAAATTGATGGTCCTCTGGTGAAAGCGTTTAGTTGCTCTGAAGAGAACCGACTTTCACTGGTTGATTGTGACATGGTAGGATCGAAAATATGCTTGGCGGCTTCATGTACGCTATCCACAGAGGATGGGCGCAAAATAATCTCGTTCGATCCCCTCCTTTTCGATACAGTTACCAAAGAGCTCGATCAGTTGCCAAAGCCACAAGCAAAAAAACCCTATCCCAAAGTGATGGCAGTGGGTGGAAGTTTTTATGTGCTTTCTACAGATACCCTATGTTCTGGCTTCCGCATAAAATCTCCGTCATTTGAACGTTTTGATCCTATTCATCGGAAGTGGGATTCTATCGTACCTGAGTACCGTGTGCCGGCGAAGACAAGCATGGCTGTAGTAGGTTACGCAGTCATCAATGACATTATTCTCATTTCAGTTGAAAATGCAACTAATTATGGCAAAACTGAATTCCATTGTTACAGAATCGGGAGTTCAATGGAGAAGTGGCAGGTCGTTGAAAAGGAATACAGAGATGTGAGATATTATGCCTTCATTGGAAAGTCTGAATTTGTTGATGATTTCGTATACACTTGGGTGGAGAATTGTTTATTGATTGCATACCACGTTACATTTTCCTCTGGAGATGATGATGATCGTACCATTAAATCTCTTGGTGCTCCAGTGAAAATTGTCGATACGGACCCTCTTGATGATCTGCTGTATAGGTTATACACCTCGAGTCTTGTTCATTTGGGAAACAAAGTATTTTGTGTGGCGAGGACTGAAATAAAAAGGGTGCCCCCTAAAGTTCAACATGTTACCATCATGACCTTGAAAGTTTCTGACAGCATGGATCCTGTAACGGTGAGTGCAGAAGTGAGTACAGACTTCTACCTCTTGAATACAGAGGGCCTCGGTCAGGCAGATGTACAATCACTTTTTTTGGACTCTCGGTAAGTATTTTCCATTCTTTCTGCCTTTCATCAGTTTCGTGGCTTGCTTGTCATAAAGGATTCTCTAATTTGCAATTCAAGGACTTGTTTTAACTAGTTGATGCTGATTCCAGGAGGAATTTTTTATTTTTTATTTTTATATACACACAGACACATTCATGTATTGTGGTCAAATGTTTAAACTCCTATGTGGTAATCTTGATGGTCCAACCAAGTTTAGTTTCTCTCTCTCTTTGTGTATCCCCCACAGCCACCCCCTCTTCATTTTTTTTTTCTTCAGAGAGAGAGAGAGAGAGAGTTATTAAATGTTTTCCCAATCATTTACATCCTATTTTGATTGTATTGACCTGTGTAATTGATAATTTTGAGTTTGAAGCATCTAGACCTTCATTCAAACCATCCTTAAAACTTGAGCAGTGATATCGTACAAGCCCATTAATTAGACTATAGTGAACTGAAGCTTGTCCATTGTGACAAGCCAACTTCATCTTAGGACAACTTTTTATATGAGAAACATGATTGCTCTACTCAAGGAGTATTGAGGTTAAAGAATAGAGGAATGAGGTTTTAAGGATAGAGGACTTACGATTGAGGAAAACAGTCTTAGATGTTTGAACAAATCTAGCGATTCTCCAATTAATTTAAAATGATTATATGAGAACTTACGAACGGAACGGAACTTGGCCCACCGACAATGAAACACAAATTGTCGTATCAATATAACACAAGCAATACTATTTGTGTCTTAAACTATGATATGTTATGTTGGATAAAAAAATTACAATAAAGAAGCGTTCTACTTATGATGTAGGACAAGAACAGACTCAAATAGAAGAAAGCAAATAAGAGTTTTGGGCTGAAAGTTCAAATGAAGAAGATTGGGGTTCAAGAGCTGTTAGAAGAGATAATGGATTGAAAACAAGAAAAACCTATTGGAATCACACCAATAGGGTCTAGGCATCACACCTAGGGAAGGCCTCACACCCTCATATCTTGTGAATCACTTGCGAAGAAATTTCATAACACTTTTTTATTCATTCATTGACTGCCTCACCAAGTTTACATAATACCCTTCTTATAGAAACTTTTTTTTTTTGATAAGTAAAATTGTATTAGAAAGCGTTCAAAAGGGGAACGCGTTCCAAGATCAGTACAAAACCAAGAACAAAACAAAAAACAAAGAAAAGAGGAGACCTATGGACCCAGAGACCCAAAAAAGTCCACGATCTCCTCAACAGAAGAACTATCTCTCCCCATACCCCAACAAAAAAGAGTATAAACTAAGAAGCAAGGACAAGGATACGGATATGGGACACGGATATGACACGACACGGACACGGCGGGGATACGGCGAATAGTATATATATATATATATATATATATATGATGTAGTACTTTAAAAATTATTGAGTGTTACTATTTTTTATCAACCTCACAATGGAAAAAATACACAAATCATAACTCATAACTAATAAACTATAAAAGAATAATGTTGTAGAGTTATAAAACCAAATAAAAAACAAAGACATTAGAATAATAACTAGTATCATTTAATCATCATTGCAACTTTATTCCAAATACCAAAGCATAGACAGAAAGGACTATTAACTTTCATGACTGTTTAACATTCAGGACTGTACTGTTAGCACTTAACATTCACAGAAACCTAAAGGCTTGTCCCAAAAAAGATACAAAAACAAGTCAGTATACTATCATCTATTCCCATCCATCATTTGACCTAAGACTTTACCATTTATAATACCAAAAGGGTAGTCCGAAACAAAAAAAAAGAACATATCAGCATTCATCTATTGTTGTTCATCATCAATTGTCTCATGAATCTCATCATCATTAACACTTCCATCATCGGTAAATAATACTGCCTCTAATTCCGGCTCATCAAGTGAGAGGTTTGCAATCTCAAGCACCCCAACATCACCAAATGAATCAAATGCATCTCCTGCAATATCCCACATCTTAGTTCGTCCTTCATTGTACTGTGGGGTTCTCCTTGACAGAAGACGAAGATTACTATGAATGAAAACCAAATCTTCAGCCCGTTGTGGCACCATCTTGTTCGTTCTCATTGAGTGAATAAAAGAATAAGTACTCCAGTTCCTCTCACAACATGAGGAGGAAGAAGGTTGGACAAGCAACTTCAAAGCTAACTCTTGAAGCAAGGGAGCATATGAACCATGTACAACCCACCAACTTTTAGGATCCATGGTATATCTATCACATATAAAATCACTCTCCCCAAATTCCCCCGAGTTTGATGAAAAATTAGCATACTCCAATTGGACTTTTGAATGCTCGTGGGTCACTAAAGTATTTTTTAAGTCACCTTGTTCTCTGTTGTGAGACCTCTAAATCCTTGTGTGGTGGAACTCGACTTCGGTCTTCACTAAGCCACATATCACTATAGTACCTACAATAAATAAGAGAATGCATTTAATTCATAATTTAATTTCCTTAATTCTAAACTAAGATTAAAACTTCCTTAGCTTACAAATTAGTATCTAATGATTTACCTTGGATTTAGTGAATGTGCCAAGCAGGGAAGCGGAGTATTGTTCTTGTTCCAACAAGCTACAAGTATCCCATGCACCACTTCATAAAAGGAAGAACTTTCACTTTTTCGCTTTCTTTCATACCTATATATTGCGATCTTTACTTTTTCAATCATTGTATCCCACATATCATAAACTAAGTGAAGACAAGGCTTATCAGTATCACAAGCCCTTAGCATGTCATAAATAGGTGAAGTAAAGGAAAGGTTATAATCAATCTTTCCCCACCATTGTTCATCCAACAGCTTCTCTCTCACATAATCGGCCTTTCCTACATCATCCTCCCTGTAGCAAGTCCACTTGTCACTTATGACCATTGCTTGGAGACCACCTTTTATAAGTGTAAATCTTTTGATCATCACAACAACAGAAGCAAAGCGTGTCTCTGCAACCGAAAGCAACTTCAAGCTAACAAACTCATTGAAAATAGCTAATCTCATTGAATGGTTCATGACGAAATTCTTTATTATTGTAACCTCATCAGCATAATCAAGAATCCAACCACACTCTGCATATGCAGTTTCATTCTTTTCCACGTTTTTTGCAGCACAAATATTTTTGAGGGCAAGATTAAGAGTATGGACCACACAAGGTGTCCAAACAATGCGAGGGAATTGCCCTTCAATTAGTTGTCCAGCAGCCTTGCAATTTGGGGCATTGTCTGTAATTACTTGGATCCCATTTTGGGGGCCAACCTCATTTATGACTTCCTTTAACAAATTTGAAATGAAAAACTTGTCTTTAATTCCACCGGAACAATCAACAGCTTTCAAAAACACGGGACCTCCTTCTGTCACAGCCATAAAATTAATTAAAGGCCTTCTTTGTGGATCACTCCAACCATCACTTGCAATGCTAACACCCTTTGCCTTCCATGTACCCCTAATTGGTTGCAATAATCTATCAATATTTGCCTATTCTTTTTGAAGTAGAGTGGTTTTCAATAGATTATAACTCGGAGGCAAATAACCCGACATAGGATTATTTGCAGCATAGTTGTATGAACTCACATAATACGGGTTTCTTGCTAGATGAAACGGCAATCCTGCCGAATAAACCATCCTAGCAATCTTTGAGTACAATTGTCCCCGCGCCTCATTATTAAATGCCTTCTCAATGGCAGCCCCACTTGCCTTTCTTTTCTTTAGTACATAAGCCTCTTGAGTGAGACTAGTAGTACCACCCAATGATGCACTAGATGGCGGCAAAGGAACTTTTTTTGGTTTAGAATTTTTAATTCTCAATTCGGCTTCTTCAATTGCTTTTTGCATTCTGCAATATTTTGAGATGTGACTTTTGGATATATACGAATACCTATACCAGTGTTTTGCAACAAGTGGGCTTTAACTCTTGTATAAGACCCCCTGAATTCGTTATTACAAAAGTGGCATTTGAATAAAAAATTTCCTTCTCCACCACCAATTTTTTCTAATTGTGTGACATAGTTCCAAAGTGGTTTGTTCTCATCTGGTTCGAATTGAGGAGTGCTAGTAGCAACTGATGTAGACAATGACATGTCTAATTCCCTAGACACGAAAAGAAAAGAAAAAAAAATCCATACTTACAGCAGTCAGCAATGAAAGAACAGTTAGCAAAGAATGAATAAATTACTGTTTGATCACAGATTCACAAGTCATATGCAACAGCTGAATAAAGACCACAGAGAAGAAGAAGAAAGAAATTAGGGTTTGAAAAAGGAAAAACACTAGAGATGGGTTTGTGAAAAATGAAAAAAAAAAAAAACAACAAAGAAGAAGAAAGAAACCGGGGTTAGTGAAAAAGGCAAAAAAAAAAAAAAAAAAAAAAAAAGAAGAAAGAATCTGGGGTTTGTGAAAAATGAAAAAAAATAAAATAAAGAAGAAAGAAACTGGGGTTAGTGAAAAAGGAAAAAAAAAAAGAAAAAAGGAGAGAGAGAGAGAAGAAGAAGAAAGAATCTGGGGTTTTGAAAAAGGAAAACGAAAAAAAAAAAAAGAAAAAAGAAAAAAAGATGAAGAAAGAAAGAAAGAAAGAAAGAAACTGGGGTTTGTGAAGAAAAAGAAAGAAAAGAGGAAGGAGGAGGAAGAAAAGAGGAGGAGGAGGGGGGAGAGAGAGAGAGAGAGAGACTGACCAGGAGGCTGGACTGGGAGTCGCCTTTGATCGGCAGCAGAGCTTCGTCACTTTGAGAGAGCAACCCAGACGTCCTTTGAATCTCATCTTGTAATAGTGTAATGACTAGCCTTAAATATCTATTTCTTTTGTTTAAAATTGCATATTAACCTTGTAAGTTTAAAATTATTATGTTCTGACCACATAAGTAAAAATTGTTAAATAACTTCATATATTTATACTTTAACCCAACTTTCTTTCAAAAATTATCTTTTAGACCCCTGAAAATAAGACACGCGTGTCGGACACACACCCCTGGCGTGTCGGATGTGTGTCCGTGCCGTG